GGAAGATAAAAGTAACTCTCATCTAACGTGTTTTTGCACAACACTTCTTTGTGGGGTGGTTGTTTGTTTTTGGTTTTTTTTTTTTTTTTATTCTTTGAAAATTATTCCCATTCTGCTGTAACTGCTAGAACTCATCATGTTCTGATGATCTTTGACCTTAACTGTAACGAAAGTTCTTTCTCTGGCAGGACTAAGCAACCTGAATTACCTCTCACTACTTTGGACTTTCCGTTCGCTCCTTTCTCTTGCCGAATAACCTTTAAACTTGGCTTTGAAGCTTGTGCCTAGCTTTCTGTTTCTAAATTCTAAGTCTTGTTTTTGATGTGTTGATGTGTTAATCTGTATTTTTCTCTTTTTTTAGTTCTTGTTACCTGTTGTACATGGAGGTTTTCTCTCTAAAGTTTTCCCCCCAAATTATTTTGAAGCTCACCAAAAAAACCCCAAACAAACCCTAAACTGATTTTCCTGCTCTTGGTAATGTTCGTTGGTAATTTTGTTTTTGGAGTATGTTTTTTTCCAGCATATATTTATATTCAAATAGCATGCAGTGCCAAGTTCAAGGGTGCTTGAGAAATAAAAAGCATTTTCTATGCAAATTTGAACCCCAGCTTCTTTCTATATTATAAGAGTTTTATTGCTAGGCAAATTGTTTACAAGAAAAAAAAATAGAGACTTTATACATTTTGAACAAAAAGATATGTGGATTTAATAGAAAAGGCCTGATGGAGGTAATATTGTTTGCTTGGTTGTGGCTTAAATTAAAAAAAACCTTTGTCTTCCACATGTAAATCTTTAACCAAACTACACCTGCTCACAAAATACAGGTTTCTGGAGTGTAGGAGCTTCTTTCTGCTCTTTTTTAAAAAGTTTATTTATTTTAATTTTTTTTAATTTCTCTGAATTTTGTGTTTAAGTACTAAATCATATGTATCCTGGTGTGTGTTTGTTTTTCCTGTATTGCATATGCCACACATGATTCCTTTCAGCTAAGATGCTGCTTACTACTTTAAGGGAGCCCTGAAGAGAAGCATACTTAAAAGCCTACAAACTCTCTAATTGTATTTGTGTAGTTCATACTTAGCCTGATGTTTTGGCATGTTTGCATAGTTATTTTGTATTGCAAACATTGCTCTTCTAAAAGCCAAGCCTTAGTCAGGTAATTCAAGATAGTAATGCTGTGAAAGAGCATTTGTGTTCCAGGCTTTTTTGTTACCTTACTACTGTTCTCTGAATTGAAAGCTCTAATGACCTCTTAAATAAAGCCCCAACAAAATAATCTTTGGGTAATACACTTCCATTGGAAGTTTTAAATCAGGTCGAATCAAGCTATTTTAGCTGCTGATGGCACAGGATACATGTGGCTTTGTAGTTTACCAATATATGAAATTGCCTGTATTGTCTTACAGTATTGGTGTGAAGACCCTCCAGGTGTCAGTGCCTGGTGTGTGCAGGTAGGGGTGCAATTCTGGGATACCCTGTCTTTCTGTGAAAAGCTCTGGACAGAAATGCATAGAGGTGTAAGCCCTTCAGGGAGCTCATGGTTTGTGTTTTAAAGAGACATCTTTATGTTTCCAAGTGTTTGCAATTTGTTTATTTTAGAAACTGGGCATATAAAAGGCTTTGTGTATCTCGTTCTCCACAAGACTTTTGTTGCTATAGTTGAGTTTTTATTGCATGTATCCAGCTGACTTAGTTCTGCCATCTCTGTGATGTCACTTGTTATTGACTGATCAAAATAGCAGTCTGTTGCATAGGTAGTTCATTCGGAAAAAAACTTCTGCTCTGGAATTGTTGGTCACCACTAAGGTTTCTGGCACAGCATCTTCTAGTACTTCAGTGGTTTGAAGTAAACACAGGAATAAGCTTTAAAACCTGCTCTCTGTGCTGCAGTCCAGTGATATGTTGGCAGCAATAGCAGCATATGGTGTTCCTCCCCCATGATTCGTTCCCACCATATGCTACCGCTGGCTTGGTTGTACCAACACAGTTCATTGTGGTACGACTTGGTAAACTGGATGAAACAACTCCTCACCCTTTTTCAGTGTGTGGTCACAGCTGAGGAGGTGGCGTGCTACCTGGGTGGGAAGGGGAAGGGGTTTGGAAACGCCTGAAGGCAGCCTCGCTGCTGGAGAGACCGTGGCAGTGTCTCAAAGCAGGTAGTGATCTGCCCTGCAGGGAGAGCAGCAGTAGGCACTAGGATGGTGAGTTACAGTTGCATCTTCAGGTAGAACAATGTTATGGTATTAAAATACGTCTGCTGTTCTGTCACTATTTGCTTCTAGTGCGTACACCCTTTGTGTTCAGAAATATTATGTTGTATTGTATGCTGCCAGTATCAGTGTTTAATATAATGCTAAAAATGTTTAATTGTTTTAAGTAATTTTATATTAAAACGGGTTTCAATGTTGGGGTTTGCAAAATGCAAGAAATGTTTCTAAGCTGCTGCTTTGTCCTGCTGTCAGCTTTTGCTGGTCAATGCTGTTCTTGATTTTACTGATTACCTTTACAATATGCAGTTGCATACACATCTCTTTACATTTGACCAGAGCCTTGAAACAGGATGACTGATTTTTTTGATGTATGATGGAATTCACATGTATGCTTTTCTGGCAAAGCTCAAAAGTACTTGCCAGATTTCATTTCAGCTGATTCATGTTGTTTTAGAAAAGTAATTCCTGCCATTTTCAAAAAAGATAAACTACTTCTCCATCTTCCTTCTGCTTGTTTTCCTCCAAATTCTTCCCCTCCAATGTCCTGCTGGGTCTTTCTGGAGCAAAGTTTCTGCACTGCTTCCCACCACTGATTGGTTTTCAGCAGTGCATGGGTACGTACATTGATACTTCCTTAAGCACTGTATGTTGTAGTGACCAAAGTCGATATTACTTTGTCTTTTGCAAAGTTGCACTCTGTCTTTTGCAGAGTTGCCTGTTGCAACTTTGTGCCAAAGCTTAAGGTAGCCTATTTTTGCTTAGTGCGGAGGAATCGTGTACTCCCAGTGGGAAGACAGCAGTATGTAAATACAGATAAAGACTTTGTCAAAAAGGACAAAGCTGAGACTTAAATGGTAATGAGTTGTTGATTTGTCTGGATGGTCTTGAAGAGGAAGTTGGAGGGAGGGGGTTTCATGACTTTTACAAGTGAAATACTTCACTATTGCTCATTTTCATATATTCCCTTTGCTATTTTGATGGTGTTGGAGCTGTATCTTTCTGGAATATGCAATATAGTTCCTCCCACTATTTGTTTCTTCTGTTTGAAGCAGTGTATTTCTGCTGGTTGCAAGTTGAGGATTACTGATAGTACCTCAAAGGCATTTGGGTGAGAAGGCAGACGCAAGTTCCTTCTTGTTCAGGCTAGCAGTGGAAGCTCCAGCATACAACAAATGTACAACAAATGACTGCTTGTAATTATTCTACACTATTTTCCAAGTTCCTGCTGTTCATGTGATGAAAGTTTAGAATGAATTGCATTTTAGGCTATATATCCATTTGATTATCAAACCTACTCTTCACCTACGAGGAAAGGGATAGGGAAGCCTTTAAGTGTCAAATATCTCCTGTAACAATTCCCCAGTCTGCCTAGGAAGGCTGTTTGCTGATCTTTTACAGCATGTATTTTTCTGATGCTCAGTAAAAGCTTTCTTTATTGTAGCTCAAGCCTATTGAGTTCTCCTTGTTCTGTCACTGATTAGTAAGAATAATCTGTTCTTGGCTTCTTTAGAAAAAATCTTGATGTATTCTAATATGGGTAGTATGGCTAGTTATATTTCAAAGAACAGCTTTTCTTGTACATGCTACTTTCTGAACCTTGTATCTGGTGTCCTCTAAATAATACTGTATCTTGAGGTCTGATTGATCCTGAGTTGAGTCAGTTATCATAGTAAACAGTAGCAGTGCAGCCCAGCAATGGGTATCTTTGTTTATTATAAAATTTTTGGACCTTTCTTTGTGGTAAACTGTTTAGGCAGTAGACTATGTAGACAAGAAGTGTGAATCTTGGAGGGTGTGTGTGTACAGAGGTGTGTGTGTGAACCTACAAATGACAGAGTATCTTGTTACTAGATCTGAGGTCACGATCCCTTTCCACTTGCAGGTACCTCTAAGGACTTGTCCCTTTGCGTGTGGGAAACTGTCTGGCAGTAAGGCAAGACTGTGAGAATTTGGCTAATTTGTACTTATGTGGTTGGAATGCAGCCTGTTGTCACTGAGCTCTCAATTCATTGCGTCTCCATTTCACTATTGCCTTTCTAGGCTGTGAGCCCTTCGTAATGGCTTCTGAGACACTGAGTGTGTCTAGCTGTGATAAGAAATTGTTAGCAATATTAAGAACACGTGCTAAAGCTTATCTTTAAAATGGCTATCATTGAGTGTGCTTTTCCTAACTTTTTTTCTTGCTTTGTGCAGGACTTTGTTTCTGGGTAAAGAATGCAGACGATAAAGTGCGTAGTTGTTGGAGATGGCGCTGTGGGAAAAACTTGTCTTCTCATCAGCTATACCACCAATGCCTTCCCAGAAGAGTACATCCCTACTGTGTTTGACAACTACAGTGCCCAAATGACTGTTGATGGACGGACAGTTAGCCTGAATCTCTGGGACACTGCAGGCCAGGAGGAGTATGACCGCCTGCGCACACTCTCTTATCCTCAAACCAATGTATTTGTCATCTGTTTCTCCATCGGTAGCCCCTCTTCCTATGCAAATGTGAGACACAAATGGCATCCTGAAGTTTCTCACCACTGTCCAAATGTTCCCATTCTTTTAGTGGGCACGAAGAGAGACTTGAGAAATGACCTGGAAACGGTTAAAAAGTTGAAAGAGCAAAGCTTGGCTCCCACTACCCCGCAGCAGGGTACTTCGCTGGCTAAACAAATTGGAGCAGTCAAATATTTGGAGTGTTCAGCGTTGAATCAGGAGGGTGTTCGGGAGGTGTTTGCTGAAGCTGTGCGTGCAGTTCTGTATCCTGTGACAAAGAAGAACACAAGAAAATGTGTCTTATTGTAGTTACCTCGGGTGATGGATGTTCGAAGTTGAATATTGACTAGAATCTTGGAGGGCTCTTTAATGAGTTAAATTGAAGATTTGCATCTTGCACTAACAGCTCTAAGCAGAAATGGTTTATGCAACGAATATTCTTGCAGTCTTATTGCTTCAGGGAAACTGAAATACAACAGGTTTTTTTTTTTTTCCAACTGAGAGGTCAAATATCTACTTTATTTCTGAAGTTCCAGTCTCCAGCTTCTCCAGGGATCACTTGGCTTCTGTCCTTATTTAATGGAGCAAAATAAAAGAAGGGACTTCTTTGAAGCCAGACTTCTTTACTAGATAGCCATCAGTTACTAGATTTGCTGAAAAGCACAAATTCTGATAACTTTGCTTTAAGTGTAGCTGCTGCTTTTCCCATCCCTTATTTACTTTGAATTTGTGTTACAAACAGAAGTCTGGCTGTCCAGTTGTTTTACTTTGTCAATTTAAAGCTTGAAAACAATTTGTTTACATGCAAAAATGCCTGAAATATTACTGAGATTGACCTTATAGTGAACTGTGATTGTTTATATGAAGAGTTAGCATAAGGCATGTTTATGCAATGAGCAAGACCCAGGGAACACTTGCAATGATTTTATTAATAGAAGCAGGAGCTGATTTCTCCTAATGTAAGGAACTTAGAATAATGATGAATCACTCAAATGAGTGATTTTCATACTTTTGAATTGGAGAGGTAGAAGAGTAGTTTAGATGCAAGTCTTCCATAATCTTCTAAACTGTGTTTTTATTTCACTCTCCAAAGAGACTTAGCACCCTGAGAATAAAGTTAACAGTTACCTTCTCGGACTGACTGAGGTAGTTGGGATGACACTTCTCAAAACGAGATTTTCAGTGTGATCCGTTTGATGAATCTCAAAGACTTGATAGCAGCCTGTTTGCTCTTGAGGAATTCATTGCTTCACTTCTTAATGTTCTTGGGGCCATCACCTGAGATTTTTATGGCAAATTCCTTTGTTGTTTTTCTGAGAGAACACTGACAGAAAATTTGGAGGTTCTATTTACAGGAACCAGGAACCCTTGGTTTTTCCTGGCAACTCACTGATGGTTTCAGTTAAATTTGTAATGGTTAGCCAGTCACTGGATAGGTTTACCTGGGCAGTTTTCTCCTCTCTACTAGGTGATCGGTTATTATAAACTCTTTTAACTGAAGTTCTATTTACATACTTTTTAACTTCCTTTAGCAGCTCTAGTGAGTGGCAGCTCGCTTTTATTTTCAAGATGTGCACTGTTCTTTATGTGTCATTCCGGGACCAGCTGAGGAGTGAGCGCATGAAACCTTCCTTAGCCTTAACCTTACAGCTTGGTGGTATGAAAGCAGCATGCTTCAAAGATACTTTGTGTGAAACCAATGGTGCTGGACTGGGCTTTGTTGTCTGAAGTTGACAGTGCTGTCTTTGTCTGGATGCAGCCTCAATTGGTAATTCAGAACTTGCTTTCCTGTGATTCCCACACATGCAAAACTGCACTGGTGTATATCCTGGGCAGAAAAAAGCCTCATTTTAGCAAGATAACAGAAAATACATCAACAAGGTTATTAGGGATCTTGTGTTAATTTAACCTTGCTTTATCCGATACGGGCAAAAATGCCAGGTGGATAGAAACATTTGTGTTTGTGCCCTAATTCCGCTCTTTGAAGAGGATGTGCCTTTCTTCAGCTGGTGTAACTGATGCTGACACTAACTGCAATTTTTGTTTATCTGAGATGCTCGTACTGGTACTGCTTTAGCAAACTGCAACCCATAGATTATAAACTGCAGTTAATGCAAATACTGGTATATGCGGCTAGTGAACCAACACCGAGTTCCAAACATTGCCTGATGGCAGGCAACACCAAAACACCCGTTACGCATGACTTCTGCAGAAGCCTCAAGGCTCTGCATATTTTTCTTCACCAAGTGCCATTGCCTGGAGTCTCTTTGTGTCTTTTGCACTCATAGAAGAAGTGCTGTTCCAGATGTGGCTCCTACCGCAGTGCCCTGCAGGCTGTGAGGGCGTAGGAGTATTTCAGTGACGTAACCTCTACTCACCACGTTCTGCCTTTACTTTAGTAGTAGGCCTTTAGTGTGGGCTTGACTTGCAGGCAGCAATTAACTTTGTGCCTTGTAATTCATGATTATTTTCTGTAGGTAAATTTCAGTAACCGAGTAAATAGTTTATGGTGTTTAAAATGTATTTATTGAAGCCAGTGCACGTTTGTTTTTAATGCTGGTCAGGCCTGAATCAACTGTCTAGTTACCCTGGTGCAAGTCCATAACCTTTGCTTCATTGAGAGATGTACTTAAAAAGTTTGTGATATGTTTGAACTGCTCTTAAATAGACTTTTTAATTTCAACAACAGGCACCTCTTTTTTTTTTTTTTTTGCTTACATATATTTGCAATTTTGTACTGAAGCTACTACTGTTTTTAAAAAAGTTTTTACTTTTTTACATACTGAAATCTCTTAGTTCTGCATCTTTTGTGGTTATTCCTAACTGGATTACAATAATTTTGTGGAGAAGAAGAGATCCTGTGAGCAAGTATTATTGCACGCACCCCCCCCCTGTTTCTGTAGGCTCACAGAGCAGCCATCCTGGTGTTAACTGGAAGAGAGTATGGTGAGATAAAATTCAACTACTTAATCAATTTATTTGAATTGATTACATTATTGATTACATTATGCTAGAACACTTTATCCCCATCTAGATTACTTAATAAATGGATTGCACAACAGTACTGAGAAGAATAACACAACAGTGATGAAAATGAGCAGAAAGTGAACTTTAAACACAGTCAAAAACTTTTTTATTGGCTTTGGAGTATGTCATTAATAGTCATTTAGATGCCTGTTATTTCTGTCACTTTCTGCCAGGAGCAGAAGTCCTGCTGGCTGACAGCTGGTTTCCTCCAGCCTCTGCTTTTCAGGAGTGCAGGGATCCAACAAGCTTTTCCATTCAGTGGGCATTCTCAGTTGGTGATCTTCATTCCCTTTCCCCCCTACAGTTCTTGGTGCATTTTATTGTAAGTAGTCCAGTGCTTCAGTCTACAATCCATTCCGTTCCTCCCACGTTGTCTTTGTGGATTTTTTTTTTTTCTGTGGGCAGGTAACAAATACAGACTTCACACAATCCCATGGATGGGTTTTGTCTGGTTTTGGGAGATCAGAAAACCCAGATTAAGCTGTGTGGGTTTCCTGAACTGTTCAAGATTCCTCGGTTTGTTACTGAATAGAAATGCAGCGTGTATGTCTTAATTCACAGAAGAGACTCCATGAAGAGACTGATTCTAATCTTTCAGTTCGTGAATGATTTCTGAAATACTTAAATGTTGTTTTTTTTTTTTTTTAAATATAGCTGAAGCCATCCACAGGGAGCTGAGCAGTTCAGGAATTCTGTGTCCAAAGGATGTTATGAGGTGCGCTTAGATGTACGAGTGCTTTCTCCAGTTTACAGCTGTAGCTATTTCTATGAAATTTAAACTAGAAGAGCCTTGCTGTGCTTTGTCTCCGAGTGCTAAACCTCACTCTGTAGAAACCTCGGTGCTGCTTGAGCTGACCCTGGGAAGCGGATGGATCGCGCGGGGGTCCCGACCCCTGGGTGGGCTGCGGGGAGCACCAGTCAGCAGCGGCAGCCCAAGACTCTTAGTGTGGTACTGATATATACACTGGCAACTTGATTTTATACTATAAAAGAATTTGTATTACAGCTAACACTTTTAAAGGAATTTTTTTTTTGTTTTAAATTATGCGGAATTAAGTTGTAATAAACCTTTCTTCATCTCTCTGGCTCTCGTATTAATTCACCCTGCTGTTTGTAACGCGCCTCTTCTAAACGTAGTTCTTTCCTGTGGAAAGCCGGACCCCCTTCCCAAAGGCAATAAACGATTTTTCGGTGAACGCCGGCGCCTCCGCGCTTCCTTGGGGCGCTGTCTGCCGGCCGGGAGGGGATGGGCGGGCGGTGCCTCAGTCCGCGCGCGTCCGGGCTGCGGTTCCGCTTCCGGGCCGGCGCCGCCGCCATGTCAGACTCGGAGAGCGAGGAGGATGCGGATGGCGGCCGCGCTGAGCCCTTCTCGCTGGCTGGGTTCCTCTTCGGCAACATCAATGAGGCGGGGCAGCTGGAGGGGGACAGCGTCCTCGACAAGGTAGGGCTGTGTCGCTCCGGGGAGACGGCGCGGGCTGAGGGACGGGAGAAGAAACGGGGACCCAGCGGCGCGGGTCCGGGGCGGGCCAGGGAGGAGGCGTCGGTGGGGCAGGCTCCAGGACAGGACCGAGCAGGCGGTTGGGGGGCTCGGCCCGGCCCGGCTGGCAGAGCCTCCCGGCTGGGACGTGGCTCCGGTCTCTTCAGGAATCCAAGAAGCACCTGGCCGGGTTGGGTGTGCTGGGACTGGGCAACCTGATCACTGAGATCACAGCCAGCGAGGAGGACAGCCCAGAGGCCGATGGAGCCCACCTGGACGAGGAAGGTTAGGCGCCGGGGTACCTGCGGTGAAATGGCAGAGGGGCTGCAGGATCAGAGTTCTGACTGGAGAGGAAGAATCGCACCCAGGTCGTCTGGGGCTGCAGGGAATATCGTAATTGTCTGGTCAGAGGTCCTCTGGCAAAGGCCTTGCCGCCTTCTTGCCAGAGTGAATCCTACATTATCTCCTGGTCACTTTTGCACTTGTTATCTTTCATTTTTTATAACTTTTTTTTCCTTGCCTCTTCTCCCTCATAAATAAGTTTATTCTGTGTTTTCCCCTGTGTTAAACAAGCCTATTTAGTGCACAGCATTATTATGTCTCTTTTTTTATTTCTGAGCTTGTTGAACAGTTTTATTGAGTAAGTGAAAGGTGTTCCTTATGCTGAAGTTGGTTACTTACTAATCTTTAGGGGAAATTCAGAGCTTGGAGGACTTGGAGCTTTTGGATGGAATGAGGGGAAAAATAGTCCGATGGGGGATGCTAATCGGATGTTTTTGTTCCTCTTAGAAAAGGAAGCATAGAAAAGGTTTCGTATGTACATAGTGAAGTCTGAAGTTAGTAATTTATGTTAGGATAAAGTTTTGTGTGACTAGGTTTCTTTTCTTCCTAGGCTGGGTTAAGAGCACGGAAGATGCTGTTGATTATTCAGATATTAATGAAGTGGCAGAAGATGAGAGCCGTAGGTATAAGCAGGCAATGGGCAGCTTGCAACCAGTTCGAAGACCAGGTAAACGGGATTAGCATTACAGCTCTATCTGTAGAAGGTATTTTAGGGCAATCTCTTATACAGGTGACATTGTGCCTTTTCACTCCTTGCTTCAAGAACCCAATATAAGCCTTTGTGAAACTGTGTTCACTGGGTGAAGCCACTGCTTGATATCTTCCTTTTTGAAGGAATAGTTCCTCATTAGAGTTAGACTATACTCGGAAGAGAAACCAGGATCCTCCTTTTGCTCTGGGATCCCCTGCAGAGAATACCCAATACCTACTCATATTTCTTTAACCTGTGTTCTTAGGAAGAGGGTTATGCAGGAGGCCAGGTGCTTCTCAGAGATACTCAAAGATAGAGATAAGGCCCTGGTCCCTTAGAGAGTCAGTTCAATCTTAATATCTCTCTCCTGTTTTGCCCTTGAATTCCTTTTCTGAAATGACTGCAAAAGGCACTTTGGTTCTTTTGTCAGTCTCAGGGATCTCTGTCTGGCCTAGAACAGATTTTCAAAAACATGCAGCTTTTCTCTTTCAGGAGCTGCTAGTGCAAATGCTACATCTTTGCATATTCCTTAAAGCTGCCTTACACTTAACCTGTCTGTTAACATTTTGTGGTTAGTGGGATGTAAAGGTGATTTGTGCTTTTTAACCACATTTTTCTTACTTTTTTAGCAGCTTTATTTGCTCTGCAAAACATGAATAAGGGGAGGTGATAGGAAATACATATATATATATATATATATTTTAAGTGCTTCAGTCATCTTTATGTCAGTTTGCCTTTTTCCCTCCTTCCCACTCTTTCTTAAATTTCAGTCTTGCAAATGAGTTTGTGCAGGAAGCCGGACTTGTAAGAGTCTTGCACCTAGTTATAAAATGAGAATGGTCTCCTTACTAATGAGAAGACATGGTCTTCTCATCAGGCTGGGACAGGTATGAGATAGTATGAATGGGAAGGGTGCCTGGTTCCCTTTTATTGTCTGCTTAATATGCAGTCTTGTCTCCTGACTGGTTAGATGAAGATGAGGATGATTATGATGCTGACTGTGAAGATATTGATTCCAAGTTGATGCCGCCACCACCGCCACCTCCAGTACCTGGAAAGAAAGAAGATGAAAAGGATGCAGCTGCCACTGGTGAGTGAGGACTTTCTTCTCTCTGGCAATGTGAATGTCTGAAGGAAGCAAACGCTGCTGTGTAGCAGTTCATTCTGCAGCAAGCACCACGCGTCGTCAAAATTCGATCTGCAGACTGCATCTAAAGGTGGGTCTTTGTCCTGATATGCAATGTTATAGGATTGTCTGAAATGTAGGGTGAAATACTGTATTTCCAGTGATTGTTAAAATACTGATACTGACAATGAAACTGCTTTTTTATCTCATCCTCTCAGTTGTGGCTGGGAAATTCACCTGGAACGCTTAGGATAAAATGAAAGGTTAAACCAGAATGGTACTCATAACACCTGCAGAGGCTTAATTTTTGCATAACTTGGTATAAAGAGTAGATGTGGCATTATGGGGTTGTACTAGGGGACAGGGAGGAAATCTCTTTGTTTATAAGGTGCTTGTTCTGTTGTAGTATCTGAAGATGGAGACGGTATCATTTTGCCCTCCATCATTGCTCCTTCCTCTGCTGCCTCCGACAAGGTGGATTTCAGCAGCAGCTCTGATTCTGAGTCAGAGATGGGACCTCAAGAAGCCAGGCAGGCAGAATCCAAGGAAGGCAAACTCACACTTCCTCTTGCAGGAATCATGCAGCGAGATGCTACCAAACAGTTGCCAAGTGTTACAGAGCTCTTCCCGGAATTTCGACCAGGCAAGGTATTGTAAGAGATATGTGGAAGTAACAGAAACTGTATCCTGTAAGCCTTCTAAATATGAATTGTATAGTATTAACGGTATGTAGTAAGTAATTGCATAGGTGTTCTTGCTCACCTCAATACTTACTTTAGTTTCTTTGTGCTGCTGTTTCCAGACTGCTTAACATGTAATGCTTTTCCTGCCACTTGCAGGAGCCTCTTAAAAAGCATATGAATCAGGGTGTGAAGTAATGTTTTGCTGTTCTGTAAGACCATAGCACAGGCCTGTTGATTTGTGAAAACTGGTTTTCCGAGATAGTAGAGAATACTTTTGCCGGATGATTAAAAATATAATGCTAATCTGTCTGCTTTCTGGCTTTTCTGGCAAGTATTTGCTCCTCCTTTCGTGCTGTCCTGAATTTGGTGTGCTCTTCCGGAAACAATTTGTGATCTGTATCCTTTACTTAATTCTTCCTCAAAACTGCGACGAGTATGGATCAGAAATTAGCTTAATAACATGTTCGTTGAAAGAATGATTGTTTTTTGCACAAAGTGAATTCATTACAATACTTTCCTAAATGCTCTCAAATAGCAAATGTAGTCGATGTATTTCAATAATTATTTTGAAAGTTTTAAAGCTGTCGAGAGGAAATGTGGGAGCGGAAGAAGAATAAAGATGAGCTTATAGGTGCCAAACCAGGTGGTTGTGAGCCAGGATACCTTGGTTTTATGTGTGCCTCTGTCACAGGTTTTGTGTAAGGAGCTGAGCAATTTGCATAATTAAAAATCGTATTTTAATAATTTGTCTAACCTCTGTCTATTAGAAATATAGATGAGGCTCTAGCACAGAAGTTAGCCTTCTGGACACTCTCTTGGCTTTTGCAAATTTTGTGTTTCCTGTGTTACTGTATTTTGTATCAGTTGGTGTGTTCGTTTCTTTGGTACTGAACATGTAATGCCAGGGACTGGTTCAGTGTTGACTGTGCCCGGTGGGTGCAGAAGTCAGTGCAAGCTGTTAATGCTGAGCACTTTTCATAATTAATTCATGAGCACTAGAGCTGGCAAAGCCTGAAATCCTGTAGAGTTGGCTATGAGGATTGGTTGATGCCTGAGAATATGCATGTTAATGTAGCACTGCTTTTCTTGATAAAACTACTTAAAATAGCATGTGGAGAAGCAGACTTTGTATTTCATTAAACTGTTAGCAGCTTAACTACATCTGAGACCTTTGCTCATTGGTGAAAGCTCATTGAAACTGGCCAAAGGGTTCGGAAGTAATCTGAGGGAGTTTTGGGAAGAAGGATAATGGGGATGTGGGCAGAGATGGACAGAGTGGTCATATAAACATTATTTCCTTTGGGGATCAGCGTAACAGATTAACAAGGATCATTAATAGGATGTCTCTCTACAAATCTTTGGTTCTAATTCTTGTTTCCTAAATCTGTCAATTAATTTGGGAATAATGCTTTCCCTCTTTACAAGAGTGCTCTGAAGAAACAATTATCAGTGCTTAAAAAACAGCAATCATAATTATAGAAGAAACAGAAGAGACAGTTTGTCATTGTCATTAGTGCAGGTTTTGCAGGTATGCAGTATGCATATGGGGAACTGCATTATGGTGGAAGTAAAAAGAGTGTGTTATTTCTAGACTGTGGTATTTATTTTTATTTGGTTGTTTAAGAAATCTCTGCTTTATATAACTGTCTTCTAGCTTTGTCTCTTTTGCTAATAATTTTATCAACTCTTCTTCATCTCCATGTGTCTTTCTGAAGGTTATGGATTGTTCAAAATGAAAATATTTATTTCCAGGTGGTGTCTTACCATATGCCCAATATGTAAAGGCAATCTTTCTTCCCTCTGTTGAGTTTCTTTGTGTCTGAAATTAAGAAAAAATCCTTTTGAAAAGGAAGGATCCATCAAACAGGTGGATCAGAAACTTTTTTTTCAAGTATAACCAAGAGATTGTTGATTGCATCAGGGGCTGGGATTGTAGTAGAGGCCAAGCTTCTGAATTTCAGAGTGCTCTCTTTCATTGCTGCTTTTCAGGTGAGGGAAAGACAGGCAAGCATTCCACAGTGTTTTTTTTTCTCTGACTCTCTTGTTTTTTGCTATTCTAGGTGCTGCGTTTCCTGCGTCTCTTTGGCCCTGGAAAGAATGTTCCATCGGTTTGGCGTAGTGCCCGAAGGAAACGCAAGAAGAAACATCGGGAGTTGGCACAAGAAGTGCAGATACAGGAGGGTGAAGTTGTAGTTGAGAGTGGAATGGAAGGAAAATCTCCTTGGGAATATGAGTTTGCTGCTCCTCCCCCTCCTGAGCAGTGCCTTTCAGATGATGAGGTGGGATATCTGAGACTTAGGGAGGGTCGCCAGCTAGCACTGGGGGTAGTAGCGGATTGGACAGCAACTTTTAGAGTTAAGAGCTTTTCCTCCAAAATAAAACTGGAGGACAGGGTTGGCTTGTATTCCAGCTGTGCAGAAGCTCTTCTTCAGACACTAGTCAGTGACTTCAGGTGATTGCTTCTTACTGAGAAGGCTGCATCCGTGGTACAGGATCAATAGGAGAGCTTATCTTCTTTGTATCAAGAAGAAATCTGTGTGTTCTTGGAAGTCTAATTGCAGAACATTCGTAAGGCAGCTAGTAAGTATGGAAAAGCACTTAGAAATACTTTTCTCCTCCGAGAATAAGCTGGGAAACTTGGAAGGAAGAAACCTCTTTCTGACATTTAGATAGACCATCAGTGTAACCATTCTTTCCTTTGCTGTGCTTCAGATTACCATGATGGCACCTGTGGAATCGAAATTTTCCCAATCAACTGGTGATATAGACAAAGTGACAGATACAAAGCCTAAAGTAGCAGAATGGCGCTATGGCCCAGCCCAGCTCTGGTATGATATGCTGGGGATCCCTGAAGATGGCAGTGGATTTGATTATGGCTTCAAGCTGAAAGAGAAGAAGAAGGAGCAGGAGGTTAAAGGACACACAGATGAGGGGGTGAGAGGGGAACTGTGGGGGAAGGTGTGGAGATATGTGTGGCACTGGGGATTGCTGCACAATGAGAGCTTGGTGATGGGCCAGTGGATGGTTGTGCACCATGCAAAATGAGACTTTTAATTTTCCTCCTTTAGTTCGAAAGCATAAAGTGGATGCAGGTCTTCAAGCAACTTTTCTTTCCTTCCAGGATGCAGGGCTGATGGATGAGAAGGATGATCTGCTAGCTGATGAGCACTTCCTTATGGTGACACAGCTCCAGTGGGAGGATGATGTTATCTGGAATGGAGAAGATGTCAAGCACAAAGGGACTAAGACACAGCGGGCAAGTTTGGCTGGCTGGCTGCCATCCAGCATGACTAGAAATGCCACTGCATACAATGCCCAACAAGGTAATCAATGGTCTGATGTGAATTGTACTTACTGTCGTTGAGCTGACTCATTCCATGCTTTCATCTCAAATACAGAACATAATTCTTCCTGTCAGGGAATGTTTTTTGGCAAAATCAGAGCTCCACTCAGAATTCTGAGACTCATTCTTTCCAAAAGCAGAGTAGGTCCCTTCTGTTAAAGAAAATACCAACTCTGGCGTTCTTCTCTCCATGTGGAATACCAGATGCTAGATCCTTCTACATTAGTATCAGGCAATGCTATACGTAGGATGTCTGCTGTTTATAAGCCAATGGAATTTTCTTTATATGTTTTTTTAATTGGAGGAATTGTGTAAAAGTCTTCTGAAGTTTCTTCTGGACTAATAATGGAATTCTGTTTTTTCTAGATAGGAAGTAACAATTCTTACAAGCCTCAGACTTCTCTTAGACACAAATGCATTTTAAATTTAAATTGCTTGTGTAGAATGAATGTTTATCATCTGTTTGTTATATCTTATCCTGCTTCTACAAGGAAGGACTAATGGGAACGTCAGATATTTATTGGGTACTGGTGTCAATCCTTTACTGTTTAGCTCTGAGTACAAGACACTCTGAAGAGCTGGGTAGGTGAATTGGGGATAGCCTTTTATAACAGTTTGCATTTCAGCACAGTTGTGCCTGAGCTATCCAGGCCTGGCCTCGCTGTGTTGGAGTCCCATCAAAAGCTACAGTAACATGTTAAAGATGGTTGGTCTGTTGACATGCCTTAGGCCTTATGCCTTCCAGAAGCATTCACTTCAGTGACATAAGTGACGTGAGCATAGGTGAGTTGGTCTGCCATGGGAGAAGCTGCCTCCACAGAACGATTGCTTGAGGTCTGCTTGGCTATCCATTTTTCTATGACCGTTTCACATAAGACAGGAGGCTGCTGGAGGCCAGACCAACTATTCTGTTGATGGCAACTGTCTGGTCAAGGCCTCTCACTTTCATAGGGACCGTATAGAAATGCACCTTACGCACTGTCATGCAGCATATGTAAAGCCAGCCAAACATAGCTTTGAAGAGGCTGCAGACTCCAGCAGTAAGCTGTGGGTGAATGTGTTTTTGTAAGTCTTACCCGTACTAATGACGTGACGCTCTGTGATATGAGCAGTAGGCCTATCCTGGTTCAGGCTGGAAATCGCTCCCCGTGCAACCCCTAAGTTCTGATTTAAGGCAATGCAATGCCCCCTAACCCTCCCGCTCAAGCTAACCTTACTTTTGTTTTCCTTTTCTCTAGGTTTGAACCGGAGTGGCTCTTTGCTCAATCCACCAATTCCACTAGCACAGAAACCAAATGTAGCAGGAGTCCTAGGTATAGCAAAGGGCAAAGAAAAGCAGGTCCCTGAACAGCAAGGTAATGAGGATGTCAATGTTTGGCTTATGAATAGGTGCACGTGACACAGGTTTCTGTACAGACTTGTGTTCTGTGTAATAGCAGGGTCCTTTTTTGGCAACAAGGTGTAGAAAAAAGGGATACTTGTTTGCTCTAAAACCTGTTAGAGACCCTGTTTCATTCTTGGAGGTTCTCTGTTTCAATGGAGCAAAATCTCTTAAGTGTTGGTAAAGCTGAGACTTGGGTCTTTGCTTCCTCTATACTTCCAAGATGAGTTTTCTTTTGCCTTTTAGAGGTTCTACCTCAGAAAGCCCTGAAAGATGGGGAAGGTTGAGGGAATAAGATGTGGGGATGAGTTCTGAAATGTTTTTCTGCCAAGGCAGTGTATGAAACTCCTAAGGATTCTACCTTATGATTGTTGCAGTTTCCCTGGATGAAGACAAGCCCTGGTACTCTATTTTCCCAATTGATAATGAAGAGTTAGTATATGGCCGTTGGGAAGACAATATCATCTGGGATGATCAGGCAATGGAAACCTACTTGGATCCCCCTGTCTTAACACTTGATCCAAATGATGAAAACATAATTCTAGGTATGTTCATGGTATCCGGAAATTTGACTTAAATGGGAAAAGACAGCTGGAAATGGAAGCAAGGATTTATAGTCACACTGTAATGGAAATAAGTGGACTGGGGCAATACTTACGGCCTGCCTTTCTTCTGGCTTTTGAAAATAATTTGCAAGTAATCAAAGGCCTAAGCAGAAGAAGGCAATGATAATAACTCTAATGGTGTGGTATATACTTTCAGCTCCAAAGATAAAAGCAGTAACAGGAGAGTAAAAATTAATGCCCTGAAACTTAAATTTAATGTAATTAATCTGACTCTTGGTGTGTTTTAGAAGCGACTGTCTTATTAATTTTACTTGCATGCATGCTGGTTTGAAGAGGGAAGTTAGAGAAGTAAACCACAAACCAGCCCATGACATTCTCAGCATGGCTTGTATTCAAAGCCTGAAGAAGCAAATTCCTTAAACCTCTTTCAGGCTATGGTAATGGCACATGGAAGCAATGACTTTGCATAACACCTCTCAGCATTTTTGTTGCTGCTACAAACTTACTCAGTATTCCTGGAGTTCGACTTGAATGTACTCCCTGCTTATATTGCTACAAGTTGGAGAGATTTTTGTCTTATTTGGACCACTAAAATCACCACTTTCTAAGATGTGTGTGTTGGTAATCTTCAAGCAGCCTTATGTAATTTAAGGACAGGCATATTTTGCTACACTTTTATATGGCCTGGATTGCATTTCCTTCCTCAGGAAAGTGGGTCAGTTTTAAGAATTTCTATATGTATTGATGGGAATGTTTTGGTACTAGCCAGCAACCTTGAAAATCACTCTTAATTTGAGCTTGGTTAAAGTAAAGACAAACAGACTTGCAGTATTTGCTTTCCAAGTCTGAAATACACCACAAAATTGCAGATGTTTGTATAAATAGTGATAAAGGTGAACCCATTCTTATTTTATATAGAGTGACATGAGATCTGTGCGTGAAGTTGATATAGCGTCTACCAAGCCCATGTCACTAGGCCCTGCTTCTTGTGTGAAAATCTTACTTGGAGAATCCATGCTTTGCAAATTGCGAACTTTTAAAATTCATACCACTTTCCTGGAATTTTTCAGGAATCCCCTTTGGGTTCAGGTCCATATTATCTTTGGATTCAGACTCACTTTTGTGTTGTATATGTGTGGGGAAGAAAAGGAGTATTAATACATGTAGTTAGGAAACAGTATTGACACTCCTGTCGCCTTGACTCTCAACTTTTTAGAATAGCTTTGGCAGAACAGATGCTATTTCTTGTACTTTCATTGATTAGATTATAAGTAAATTTTGTGTTGAACAGTGGATACTCCAAGCAATCCCCACAATTACCCTCCTCCCACTCAAATCTGCTCACTGCTGAAGAAGGCAAGGTAATCCCAAATCAAAGAGATTTAAGCATGGAGCTTTTCTGTGTTTTCTGAGCTTGTTTCATATTAACCTGTACAGAGGGAAAAGGGGGAGGAGTGTAGAAGGAGGACAGTCACCCCAGAAACTGAACAGAAAGGCTAAAATGTCTGGACCAAGCTGCAGCTCAGTAGGTGGTTGCAGTGCTGAAAAGAGAACCCTAGAACAAGTGCCCTACAGTGTGATTGCTTGTGTTTTTAGAAATTCCTGATGAAAAGGAAGAAATGACTTTGAACTCTCCATCCAAGGAGAACAAGAAAGAATCTTCTTTAAAGAAGAGTCGAATCCTGTTGGGAAAAACAGGTGTCATCAAGGAAGAACCACAGCAGGTCAGCATAAGCTTTAGCACCTTGCAGGTTGGGAACGACATGGAAGGAGTGAATTTTTTTTTTTTTCACTGACACCTCTCTGTGTTTAAAATTGAATTAGAACATGTCTCAGCCAGAGGTGAAGGATCCGTGGAACCTCTCCAATGATGAGTTTTACTACCCCAAACAGCAGGGACTTCGAGGAACCTTTGGAGGCAACATCATTCAGGTAGTCACAGTAGTGTTGGCTATAGAGTGAGAAATAGAAAGTGTGTCTTGGTAGGAGGTTTCTAGCTGAGAGTATGATTTAGGATTTGTAGAAAACAGAATTTAGATTACAGCAGGTCAGTTAAGTGTTCATGAGAGTGATTTTTAATGTTTAATTAAAATGATTAAAAGGAGTTTGAACTAACTTTTCTTGATTGCCCCATCAGACTGAGGTTTAGGTGCCAGATCTTGCTGTGTCATACTCGCCATGCTTTTGTTTCGTGTCTCTTTCTGTAGTACTCTTTCTGAAGCAATGGAGGGGGGGGGGGGGGGGGGGGGGGAGGTGGTGCAGATAGTCAAGAGGTGAGGCTGTACTTCTGCTACTAGTGTGTGTTTTAATCTGGATATTATAAAAATAATTTACATAATGATGAGTTTGAACTACTGCTCACTAGCCCTAGGGGAAGAGGTGATATTTTTTCCCCCTTCATTGTGGTATTCAGTGACCACTTCTAAAACCTCATCTGATTCCAGTCTCTTCTATAATGGGAAAAATGTATGTAGTTCTAAATGTGCTTCTGTCCCACTGATAAGGATAATGGCTTTGCATGCTCCTAGTTAATAAAAAAAATCCTTTCATTGGGTACCATTTGAAATAGTAAAATTAAAGTAATCTCTGTACAGAAAGGAAAGATTGATATATGGACCTAAGCACTTTCTTGTCAAACAGCAACATATATGATAACAAGTGAATTTCAGTGCACTAGTATTACTCCTAGCAGACCTAAAAATATTACTAGGTTCTGTTATATAAGGGTTTGCAGGATAGGAGGATGATCTTGGTTTTGAGGTGATACGTGTCATTCTTAACTCACATTTTGTTCCTATGTTAGCACTCTATCCCAGCAGTGGAACTTCGCCAGCCATTCTTTCCCACCCATATGGGTCCTATGAAGCTCCGACAATTTCATCGGCCTCCCCTGAAGAAATACTCTTTTGGTGCCTTGTCCCAGCCTGGGCCCCATGCTGTGCAACCTCTGCTGAAGCACATTAAAAAAAAAGCCAAGGTGCAGTTATTTTTCTCCATATCTGATGTCTGCTGTGGCTCCATTTGCACAGCAGATTTGTTTGATGTGCTGTTTTCCTAACACTGTCTTTTCACTGGCACAGATGAGAGAGCAGGAGCGTCAGGCTTCTGGTGGGGGTGAAATGTTCTTCATGCGCACACCACAGGACCTAACTGGCAAGGATGGAGATCTCATCCTTGCTGAATACAGTGAGGAAAATGCCCCTTTAATGATGCAGGTTGGCATGGCAACAAAGATTAAAAATTACTACAAAAGGGTGAGTATGCAGGTTTTGCTGTTGGACAGTGATTTTCTTCTGCCTCTCACTGAGTGCTAACTGCACCTTCATTGCATGTTGCAGAAACCTGGCAAAGATCCAGGAGCTCCAGACTGTAAATATGGAGAGACTGTTTATTGTCACACTTCTCCGTTCCTGGGTTCTCTACATCCAGGCCAGTTACTGCAGGTGAGAAAAGCAAGCATAAGACGACAGGTTGAATGTGGAGTAATAGGCAGAATGTTTTGTGCCCTGTTTATCAAATCACAAATAATGTTCAACTTCCAGAAAACAGATTCAGTTTAATTTCCAGTTTAAGTCTCTGTGTTTACTGATAATAATTCAGTTGACTTTTTTTTTTTTTAAATATCTCTCTATGTTGTATGTTTTTTAAAATTGTTATAGGAATGATAGGAATTGCAGGAAGTGAATCTTTGCTGCTTTGCTTTGTAACCGCATTAGAAATACTGTTAGAGAGGACTGAGTGGAAGGCCAAAGCTGCTTGAATGTTGGGGAGCTCAGTAAATAGGTGTTGGAGGGGATAGAAAACATGGATTTATCATGGTTTGTGTGAGCAAACCTTATGTGTACTTTGAGAATTGCACTGCTAGTCGTCTGCTGGATGCTAGTTACTAGTCAGGTGTGTAGACTTCTGCTTTTTTTAGCCTTTCTCTGTTGTTCAAATACATCAGTTGAGATGGGGAGAGGAATTAAGAATGTTGTAAGGACCATCTGGTTACAAAATCCATGATAAATGTAAAAATAAATCGATTTCGGTTAATGCTAGCTGCTCTTGGTGCAGCAATAATTCTGTCCATGTACCACAGGAAAAAAGTAAGGTGAAGGTTGATACTAGAGATTCATCACAGAACCGACAATGCTAATTGTTCAAGCCTGAGAGGACTTCATCATGGACAAAACAGGACTTCTGGAAAGCTTGAAGTGAGGACAGGGCCATCTCAGGGAAAGCTTTGCAATGTGGATGAGGGTAGTGTGGGAGAGTAGCAGTGGGTAAGGCTTGTGGAAGCCCGATGGGTGGAGAAAAGCCTTTATAGAAGAGGATGGTCTTTCCAGTTCCACTCAGTCTAGTGCCTCCCTGGTGCTAGTTTAAACTTTCTTACCTTTAAATGCTGAACTCCACTGCTCTCTGCTTTTCTGGTTAGGTTCTTACAAGCTCCCTTCCTGAGGAAAGTCTTCAGTCCTTGCTTCTGTTGCCTTCTCCCATTCCCAGACTGTATGTGTGTCCTGGGCTGGTTTCTCTGGTTATAGTGGTGTTCTGCATATGTGTTCTTTCTGTCCCTTTTTAAGGTACCTCCTTAAAGGTCAGTCCAAAGAGCCCTTCAAACTCTTTCTGCATTTGTTCTAGGTTTTCTTATGCTTTTGTGCTTCATCCTTGGTTATTCTCTGTGTAAGCAAGGAATGTTCTGACTGCACATCTACATATATAGTGATATAAATGATTGTATATCATTGAAATGACCTTTTTTTTTTTTTTAAGATCTTTTTTGTAGATTGAGTTACAGAAAATTTGATCAAAACCTGACTTTCAAACTTTGATTTGCTTCTCTTATTAGGCATTTGAAAACAACCTTTTCCGGGCCCCTATCTATTTACATAAGATGCCTGAAACGGATTTCCTGATTATCCGGACACGACAAGGCTATTATGTTCGAGAATTAGTGGATATTTTTGTAGTTGGTCAGGAGTGCCCACTTTATGAAGTACCTGGTCCCAACTCTAAACGAGCTAACACCCATATCAGAGATTTTCTGCAGGTATGTGATAAGAGACAGTTTGGGATCTGAGGGGTCTTTGGAGAAAGTCCATGGTATAGGCATGAGCCTCATGTGGACAGCCTTGATTTGAGAAGCTCATTGCCCTGCTATGGTTCCTTTTTTGTGTTGTGAGGTGACAGCACTGCAAGAGTTGGATGTTAACCATACAGACCATTTTGGTTGTCATTTAACCAATAATTTATAGTATGCTTCTTCTGTTTACTTGCATCCTATCTGATAAGTATATGATAGAGGCTTTTTATTAGCCAAAATAAAAGGTTATAAGATTATATAAAGTGTAGGAAACTGAAAAAATTAGAATGAACTTTGAAATGGTTATGCTGTATAAAATGACAGTTACGTGGGTTTTACTAAGAGGCAATTAGGGGATCTTATCACAGTCCTATTACATAGCACGGAATTAGAGTTGCTTCATAGGTCTTTGTTGATTTCCTAGATCTTGAGGCAGTTAAGCTTTGGCTCTGTCAGTGACCATTCAAATAAATATCCCCAAATTTAGATTTTGGAGAAAATTTCTAGTAATTTACTGTCAGTTTAATTCAAAATTATGACTTAAGAGGTATTTGCAGAGCAGAAAAATCCCTGTCATTCTCAGAGTTCAAGTTTCTGTACCAAAGCATGAACATTTCTAATGTGATATAATAACAAAATTTTAAGACAAATATTTTTTCCACATCTCATTCTCAAAAATAGCTGAACCTGAAGCAGACATGTGGCTTGGAAAACTTTACTAAGTAAATTTATAAGAAACAATGGGTTTTAAGTAGGAAGTCTGAAGTAGTCACTAGAAACAGCATTGTCTATACTGTCTTTGCAGGTTTGTTGTATTCTTTCTTTGGACATCACAAACGAATCTTGTTTTGTAGGTTTTTATTTATCGCCTCTTCTGGAAAAGCAGAGACCGTCCTCGGAGAATTCGCATGGAGGATATTAAGAAGGCCTTTCCCTCGCACTCGGAGAGTAGCATCCGAAAGCGACTAAAGCTTTGTGCGGATTTCAAACGCACAGGTATTTAAAGATTTTATGTGGCCATCAGCCATTCTTTGCTGCTCTTGGGGTTCCAGACAGAGCAGGAGGAGGCAACATCTCCTCCTGAAAAACCATGTTTGAAAACATCTATTTGAAGAACTGAAATGTAATGATAGGGTTTTTTGTTCCGATTTTTATAAATGTGCACTTTCTTTTGGCACAAGTGTGCTTGATGGTGAGAAATGACTACAGTTTCGGTATTTTTTTATAACCCTTTGAGCAATGATTTTACTCGTAAAGGAACAATGTACGACACCAACACATACATGTTCCCTTCCCTCTGTGTATGGCTGTGTTGTGTTTTGCAAGCAAATACATGCCAGTAGAAACTTGTCCTATCTTCATGAGTCTAACAGTGCTCTGAGAGCCTGAGTTCTGATTTTTGTATATGCAGAATGATAAACAGATGGTAATACAAAGCTTTTTAGGCTGGCCATGGGGAAAAGTAGTTTGAGGTGAGGAGGTGAAAGGTGGATTAAATGCTTTTGAAATGTAGTTTATACCTTGAATGAGCATGAATGTATGAGGGTTTTTGGTGATAACAACAGGCGGTGAGTAATGGGACGTTAATTTAAACAAATGCAGAATGAAAAAACCTATCATTTCTGGTGGTCTAAGCGTCACAGTTTTGTCATCCTTGCTCCTTTTGCCAGCATTGCAGCAGGGTACCAAATCTTGAAATACAGTTAGGATTATGATGGCATCCAACATTTGTGAGAAACTACTAGATGTTTGATCTGTGCATTTTTCAGGGATGGACTCAAATTGGTGGGTTTTAAAGCCAGATTTCAGATTGCCAACAGAGGAAGAGATCAGAGCAATGGTATCCCCAGAACAGTGCTGTGCTTATTACAGCATGATTGCGGCTGAGCAGCGACTGAAGGTAAGCACTCCTTGCAGGCTATAAGGCAAGTTACTGACAAGTAGTTCTGTGAAGGATGAGGCTAGGTAACACCTTTTGCCTAAAGCTAATTTTGCTACAAAATAGGCAAATTAGGCCCCTGACTACTGGGCAACTTGTGAAGTTTTCTGCTGCATAAAAAGCAAGTTAAATTCTTAGAGAGAGATGTTATATTCTTACCACCTATTATTTAGATATTGAGTTAGCTATGCTCAAAGGTTGCATAGGGAAGGTCCAAGAAAGGGCTTATGTTTCTACCTGGAGCTCTACGGCAGAAAGTAACCAGTATGTGGCTGTGAGGGAGACTGGTTATTTTTTTGAAGTCGAGTGCAGTATTTAGTTATGGAGTTTGTCAAAATACTGGGCAGTTTGACATCTGTGATACTGTGGGTCACGGTGAATTTTGCAAACAACTGTTTGTGGAAGTGTGCTTGTTCAGCATGACAGGTCTCCACAGGAGATTCGTAATACACTTCTGGTTCTCTCTCCAGTAACCTTTTTAAGACTTTAGGTTCTCATTTTTTCCTAATATTTCTCTGCAGGATGCAGGTTACGGGGAGAAATCCTTCTTTGCGCCAGAAGAGGAGAATGAAGAGGATTTCCAAATGAAGATTGATGATGAGGTACTGTCAGAGCGATGCATAAGCGTGCATGCCAATATATGAATCTGCATGGCAGAAAAGAAATGAGGTCTTTAAATGTAAAGGATATATTAAAAGTAGGATTCAGTAGCTCAAATGTTCTTGTGACTTTCCTGGGAACTCTGCTGCCAGGTATAATCCCTGTTTATACCTGTGTTTGGGGATCCGTCTTGCCAAGTCCTTTCAGGACTAGGCTTTTTGCATTAAATGCCTTTTGTGAATTATTTAGCACTTTGGCTCTTCATAGAGGTTTTATCAGGGCAGCTGAAGGATCAAGAAGTGGAATTCACCCTCATTAGGTCAATTGAAAAGTTCTCAGTATGATTGGAAGAATCCAAAATAAATAGCTTGGAATTCTCGTTGATGGTAGGAGGATTGTGAGGGCACGTTTCTCTTCTCGCTGGCAGGTGCGCACAGCTCCATGGAACACCACACGAGCCTTCATTGCTGCTATGAAGGGCAAGTGCCTCCTAGAAGTGACTGGTGTAGCAGATCCTACCGGTTGTGGTGAAGGATTTTCTTATGTGAAGATTCCAAACAAACCAACTCAGCAGAAGGTATAGTTCCCAAGGTTGGGTTGGACAAGGAGCAATAACTGGAAAGTCATGTGGGAGAAATGGAGTAAATATGGGGCATCAAGAAGAGAAAATATCAAAAGATAAGCCTAGGAAAGACTATTATGTGATGACATTAATAGGCTGCATCTTCCTCTGAACAGGATGATAAAGAACCTCAGCCAGTGAAAAAGACAGTGACCGGGACAGATGCTGATCTGCGCCGACTTTCTCTCAAAAATGCCAAACAGCTTCTGCGTAAATTTGGAGTGCCTGAAGAGGAGGTGAGCATGAACCTGGAGCAGGTTACAGAGTTCTCTTCACTAATGGCTTCAGCGGCTGGTGGTGGGAGGGACGTATATGTTTCTACTCTGACCTTGTGTGGAAAGGAGTTGAAATCCACAGTCAGCTACCTCAGTTGTATGTCTCGAAAGCCATTTCTAGTCTGTCTTCCTCTTTCCAGATAAAGAAGCTGTCCCGGTGGGAAGTGATTGATGTGGTACGTACGATGTCTACAGAGCAGGCTCGTTCAGGAGAAGGTCCTATGAGCAAATTTGCACGTGGGTCTCGGTTTTCTGTAGCAGAACATCAGGAGAGATACAAAGAAGAGTGTCAGCGCATCTTTGATTTACAAAATAAGTAAGTTCTTATCTGATGTTGACAGCCTTGAACCCCACCCTGTCCCCACCTTGAAAGTCCACAACCATGTGTGCCTGGGGCTCACTGATATGTCGTGGTATAGATGTTGATTTAACTGGTTGGGCCCACAAAATACAGCACTGAGAAAGAGAGCTTTGGCTGTTAATAGAAACTTATGGGTTAGCCTTAGTGTCTTGCTGTCATAGACCTTTTGGAAAGGTAGAATGAGTTGCATAGTCTGCCACGTATAATGGCATGAGATGTTTCACTGTTGCACAGATCAGTAGTTCACCACCCTATTTCCGTTCTTTTTTTTTATTTTTTATTTTTTATTTGTTTTGTTAACAGCAGTTTGCCATCTCTCTCTCTTGGGTAGCAGCTACCAATTCTATGTTCTATTCTTTAGAACTGCCAGAAGAATTCATGTATTGTTCCTTGTTCTGGCCCAAGACCTGAGAGTGGGGAGGGAATATAGTACTGTTGATGACAAAGAGATCAACTTGATGGAGACGATTGGCTTGGAACAATTGATCTTTTGGACATGGGGATTAGAGGAGGACTGGGAAGGGAATATATTATGCCTGTTCTTGTAGTAGTGGTTTGCAACATTAATTTTCAAACCTTTGTGTCATTTTTACCTTTGTATTTCTGGGACGGTAACAGGCTGACTTTTTTTGGGGGGGGGACTAACTGACTTTCAAGGTGCCTCCTGTTTCAGGGTTCTGGAATCCACTGAGATCCTGTCCACAGACACAGATAGCAGCTCAGCTGAAGACAGTGACTTTGAAGAGATGGGAAAGAATATTGAGAATATGTTACAGAACAAGAAAACCAGTTCTCAGCTCTCTCGGGAAAGAGAAGAGCAGGAACGAAAGGAATTGCAAAGGATGCTTCTGGGAGAAGACAGTGGCAATGACAAAGAGAGGGGCAAAAAGGACAGGAGAGACAAAAAGGGGCTGTGTAAGTAACTGCAACCACCAGAAAGTGCCTGGGAAGGGATGCAGAACTTTGTGTCAGGCTGCAAACTGTGCTGATCTGGCCTCTCAGAGGACAGTGTGGATTCCTTACAGGAAGAAAGTACAGATATGCTTATCTGGGGCTTCTTCCTTCTCCTGAGCAGTTACTGGCTGAAAATGCATTTAAAGTGTTTTCTTTGCCCCATAGCTTTGCTTATTTGGAACTATAAACTTACTCTGATATTTCTTCAGATATTCACTGCTGCTTAAGTTTCCCTTTTTTTTTTTGGGGGGGGGGGGGTGTGTTTTTTTGTAGTTTTCTCAAGATGTGTTCACAAATAGTTCCTGCAACCAGCTTATGGTGCTCTAATTGGATCTCGTGTGTAAACATAGCTATGTATGAGAAACAGATAGGCACAATATGTAGGCTGATAGCAGTGTCTGTTATACTGTGTGCGGTAGCAGTGTGTTTGGGAGGTAACTGGGCAGCTGCCAGATTTGGATCTCTTGGAAATGTGTTTATTTTCAGTGCATTCCAACAGAGAATTTGACAGGTCCCTGACTGGCAGGTAGAAGTGTTTGACCTGTGAATGAACTTCTGTCCGTGTGAAGGTGCTCATGGCCACTGTTACTTGTTGCATGTGTATGAGCAAAGTTGAGCTCTGCTGCATCTGGGTCAACGTTATTGTTGCTGTTGGAAACACAGATTGGGAATAAATCACTAATTAAATAATTACTGGAATAATTTAGTAAGGGATATGTGGAAGATTTGCTGATGATTGTTGCCTTATGAAAAGATACCCAGTGTTACTTTGAACAAAATCTCTCAACCAAAATTATGGATGGTGCTGGAAAAATTCTGTGAGATTCTGTGGTCACGTGAGACCAAGTTAGCTCATTGGTTGTAACACTAGTTGGAGAACTGGATAATTGTTGACTTTCAGTTTCTGCCAAATCTCCATACCTATGATCAAAACCACTGTAACTATAAGCAATCTGCAGGGCCATGTTGCAGTTGCCTTACAGGTTGCACTTCGGAACCTGTGGGTCCTTTTTGACTGTAGCTGTTCCTTCTGGCTTTATAATCCATGTGGATAATTCAGTAGCTTACCTTTATTTCAGATTGATATATGTCATGATAATATAACATGAACAAGCAAGGGAAAGGTTTCTGTTGCTTAGGTTTTCCTGAATTTGTGCCTTGGAAGTTTTTAAGCCAAAACTATCTGCTGTGTTTAAACAATGATGTTTCTACAGTATGAAAGAAATGAAAAGTAAATAAAACACTCTCTTGTAGCATCAGCTTCAGGAGCCTCAGCAAACTCTCACAAAGATGATGACACTGCCTCTGTAACCAGCCTTAATTCCTCTGCCACTGGCCGCCGCCTCAAAATCTATCGCACGTTTAGAGATGAGGATGGGAAAGAATATGTGAGGTGCGAGACAGTTCGGAAGCCTGCTGTTATTGATGCCTACTGCCGAATACGGACTACCAAGGATGAAGAGTTCATGTAAGACCTACATGATTTTTTTCTTTTTTTTTTTTTCTTTTTAACTTTGCCCGTAGACTATTTCATTCTATTGGCAGTATGAAGAAATGTAGAATTGAATGTAGTAGCCTGGCACTGTAGTTGTATATATTTAGAGAGAGAGTTAATGGCTGTCCATTTGGAGGGTATTATGATTTTTTTGCAGTGGTTGACCTGGCAGAAGAGTACCTGGTAAATCATCAACTCAGATGAAAAACTTGTGTGTTTTGTTTTGTTTCATTCCCCCCCCAGACGAAAGTTTGCTCTATTTGATGAACAGCACCGTGAGGAAATGCGGAAGGAGCGGCGCAGGATCCAGGAACAATTAAGGCGGTTAAAACGGAACCAAGAAAAAGAGAAACTCAAAGGCCCTCCAGAAAAGAAGCCCAAGAAAATGAAAGAGCGTCCAGACTTGAAAGTAAGCATATCCATACATAAAGCACGCTAACAGGTCTTGGGTATTGGAGAAATTTTCTGTTCTAGTGATGTACTAAAGGTCTGATTAGAGGATTTTAATCATACTTTGCCTCTAAACTAGGAGCCTATGTATGAATTCTGATATGTCATCTTTCTTATATTTTTGCAGCTAAAATGTGGAGCATGTGGTGCAATTGGCCATATGAGGACTAATAAGTTCTGCCCTCTTTACTACCAAACAAATGCCCCACCTTCTAATCCTGTTGCAATGACAGAGGAGCAGGAGGAAGAGCTGGAAAAAACAGTCATTCACAATGATAATGAAGAACTCATCAAAGTAGAAGGAACAAAAATTGTCCTGGGAAAACAACTGATTGAGAGGTAAGGGAAGAAGCAGAGATACTGATGGGTAGTAAGAAAAAACAATTTAGAGCTTAGTGCAGAATGCTCCTATGTATATTAATCACAGGAATAAAGTGACAGGGCTTTACATAGACTATTACTACAGTATTTCGATTGTGTGTTTGGTATTATGGCAGATGGGACCAGAGCTAATATACTGGGGGACGAATGGTCTTGATTCATAAGAGGGCTGGGGAAAGTATTACGCTTTTTTGTTTTTACCTAGTGCGGATGAGGTTCGCAGGAAATCACTGGTCCTGAAGTTTCCTAAACAGCAGCTTCCTCCAAAGAAGAAGCGGCGAGTAGGGACAACCGTTCACTGTGATTATCTGAATGTGAGTGAAGGTGTTACTGAGCTGATTGCAGCATCTCTATTTCTGTTTGTGCCAACTGGCCAGTTTCTTTACTACTCCTGTGCATCCTCTGCATGCAACACAGATACCTGCCCAGTAAATTAATAAACTAAATTGCCTAAGATTTCTGTGGGTAAATATTTTGCATCTTGGAACTGCCTTAATTTTTCTGCCTCTGATTTCTTTAGCGTCCTCATAAATCTATCCACCGACGGCGAACAGATCCCATGGTGACACTGTCATCCATCTTGGAGGGCATCATCAATGACATAAGGGATCTTCCTAATGTAAGTTTAAGCAATGAGACCAAAACCCTGTGTCTTAAGCAGTACGGTTGAAGTAGGTTGTGTTGTACACGCCAAAATTAGGCTAGGCTTTTCTCAGATGAGTGATGTGCCACCCATTTCCCCCCTGCCCTGCACACAGCTGGTGTTCATTATTTCTTAAGTTATCTCAGCTCAGAATCTTTTTGAGATGAAAATGTCCATGTCAGAAAATAATGTTGAATAGTTCCGTATGGATACATATTCAAAGCCTGGGATGTGATTTTGTTTGTTTGTTTGTTTGTTTTTTCAACAAAACCAGAAGAAGATGCATAACACTTGATGTAGCAATGTGGAATAGTTGTATATATGTGGCACTGGAGAAAATTGTGTACTTCACTGTTTCTGACCAGATTTTACCAGAAACTTGCAAAATCAAAAGATTAAATGGAAGATTTGAGTTGAAATGAGAATTTAAAGTTCAGTTTCTTGAATTTTGTGCTGCATAACCAAAAACACCATCTGAGAATTCTTTGTGAGATTTTTCTTCTTCTAATGGTATTAAAGAACATTTTGTAGAAGAAGGTGATAGCCACCATGGGGCTGAACTTATCGCATTTTTCCCTGGTGCAGTTAAGGAACTGATTGTGTAAAGGTTTTATACATTAGTGCCTATTCAACTCTGGAGGTTACACTGAGATTAGCTGTGCTAGTACTGTGTTAATAAGCATTCATTTTTTTCTTCTCATCCTCAGACATACCCCTTTCATACACCTGTAAATCCAAAAGTTGTCAAAGATTATTATAAGATCATTACTCGGCCCATGGATTTACAAACCCTGCGTGAAAATGTTCGTAAGCGGCAATACCCATCCCGAGAAGAGTTCAGAGAACATCTGGAACTAATTGTTAAGAACAGTGCGACATACAATGGTAGGCTATTAACAACGCAGGGAAACTGTGCTTCTGCTAATACGTTGTACATGTATGAGGTGTGGATCTTTTAGAAATAATGAAAGCAACAGAAAAGCAGAATAAATTCACTGTCAGATGGCAACAATAAACATATGTTTTTCTAGATATACCTGATAGACTGCATCAATGTTAATGAGCTAATTCATAAATAAGAAAGAAGTGGACCCTAGCATTTAACAGTAAATGATAACTGTGATGTAGCAAGTTCAATTATGGACCTGTCAATGACTGAAGACACTGGTGCATGTATTAAGTCAAACTGCACTGAAGCGAAGTCCTGCATATCCCCTTCATATAGGGTGAAGCTAAGCAAAACATTGTTTTCAGTAGACTACATTATGAGTGTCCTTCCTTTTTGCTTTCAGACATGGATCGGTGGGGAGATACTTGTGAACTTACTTTCTCAATATTATGCTTTAGTGAATGAATCTTTCGATACAAGTAGGAATAGTTCACACCTTTTGAAGCCATTGCCTTGGAGCATGCAGGTCTGAGTAGAGTTTACTGTAATGATTTTGCATATTTTGGTGCTTAGTTGCAATAAATTTTTCCCCATTTGGGAAGGTCAGAAAGCTAGTTTAAAAAAACCAAAAAGCGTAGATTCTGTCGTAGAGCATGCATCTGCTGGGGAAAAGTGCTGATTCATTGAGCAACTATAGATTGGCTGTATTCTGACTGCTGATAGAAGGGTCTTTGTCCAAAAAATATTCATTTGACAGATAAAAAAAACCTCCCAGCTGCATTGAGTCTGTCTGGGCTGTGCAGCATTTGGGGTGACACTGACAGCACTGGTTTTGTGCCTTTACTGCTTAGGACAGCTAAGTCCCTGTTTTATCCTAATAAATGAGATTTTTTTCATAGTTCTGTTGCAAATACTTGTTTCCATGTCTGAGGAATCATAAAATTATTTAAAGCTGTGGTTTTCTGAATATTCCTTAAATGTCCATCTTGCCTTCCGTAGCAGTTCTGCTTCACTGACTGGATTTAGTGAAGAAAACAGAAATTTCATGACTTATACTCTGAAAGTTTGGCAAAGGTGGAGGGCTTAGAGGCCGGTCTTCCACAGGCACAGCTGCTTTCCCATAGGGTTTCCAAACCATAACAGAATGTATACCAGAGTATTTGCTCCAAATAACCTTTTCTCATATAAAATCCATGTTAATTTTTAGTAATTGTGTGTATTGAGAATATACTTGAGGATATGCTCCCAACTGTGCTAGATATATAATCAGGGATGCTTTAGGAGTAAAGATTAATTCATGTTGTGACACGATTGGCCTTTTTAATCAGGCTGGAGTATCTCACTGTACTTGCTGTGTGTTTGCAGGGCCAAAACACTCACTGACACAGATATCTCAGTCCATGCTGGACCTGTGTGATGAAAAGCTAAAAGAGGCAAGTCTTGTGAATGAGTTGTGATCAGAGTGGAGAGGGAGGGATGGTCGGGGTGGTTGAGGAGTTTGAGGATAGAGGACATGAGTAGACAAAACACAGGGCTTTAAGGAGAGTAGAAGAATAAGGGAACTCCTCCCCCCACCCTGGGGTGCATTTGAATTTTTACAATTTTAAACAGTTCACATTGGAGTCTTTCTCAGAGAACAGATGCTTGTTTGTTATTCTAGTTACTTTGTCTTGTATGTCGGCTTATATCTAGGCTATTACTCCCCCTTATTTACAAGTGTCTTCGTAAAAAGGTGAATGGGAGTCTCTTTGGGACAGAGTATCCTGATATTAGCAGTTATTAATCTAGGGTCAGCCACTGATGTTCCTTACTTTTATTGCAGAAGGAAGATAAACTGGCTCGATTAGAAAAAGCAATTAATCCCCTCCTGGATGACGATGATCAAGTGGCCTTTTCCTTCATTTTGGATAACATTGTCACTCAAAAGATGATGGCAGTTCCAGATGTACGTAGCTTGAGTAGAGTGTGTGTGTGTGTGTGTGTGATGTGCAAAATGTGCTGATTATAGTCCTGTGGCTGTACGTTTACATTGTGGTTGTTAGTGCGCTGCAAATAAAAAGAGTGCTCTGTCAAGGAGCTGGCTTGTGGTTTTCTGACTGGTACACACACACCTGTACTCACCCCCTTCACTGCAGCAAAGGTCCAGAAGCGAAGGCTGGGTTGCAGGTTTTTTTTCTGCTGCTCTCGCTCCTGGATAGTGCCTGTGTCAACCTCCCATTAGTATGAAGTCACTGATCTTCATTAAGCATGGTCAGTATAAAACCTACTCTTCTCCTACTGCTTATAGCACTTGCTTTGGTAGATCTCAAAGCATTCTGCAAAGGTACAGTTTTCAGGTGCAAACGAAACACCAGCTGATTTCTCATTGATCAGGCTTACCCAGTGTTGTACTAGTTTATTAGTATTAAAAAAAAAAAACAGCCTTTAAGTTTACCAAATAAAACTGCACAGATAAGGACTTCAGTGTCACTCATCTATAGTGTCTATTGTGTCTGAATGGAGTAAGGAACAGCAGCCTGTAGTGGTTAGACTGAATGAGAGAGGGCTTAATGCCTGTCCTCTTTAAAACTTCGTTGGTTCCATTCTCCGTTGTCACCAAGTTCTCACTTCTGATGTTTAGAAACAGATTGTAGAGTTTTTCTATGCTGTTGCACCATGATGAACTGTTAAATTGGTATATATAGCCCCCATTGTGAGATCAGACCTAGGTTTATATTCTTTGTTTATTGTACAAGCAATGAATGCTTTTGCTGGATGCTGCAGTTATGTTGTGAAGGAGGGAGTGATATTAAATAGAAAAGTCCTTTGTATGATTATTATTTTGTATTACATGGTCCTACTGTCAAACAGGTATCAACAGGCCTAGTTAAAAATCCAACTGGTAGATCTATTTTCTGTGTCCCTCCTGAAGCTAAATGACTGGATTCAAGATGCCTTGTGATAAATACTTCCCACACATTTTGAGTGTTAATCAGTTCTGGAGACTTGCTTTATGAAATTTGTAGCTCAAACTGTAAAAAATTCTACACAGAAGCTTTCTAAACTTGTCTGTTTTCTTTCCTTCAGTCTTGGCCATTTCATCATCCAGTTAACAAAAAGTTTGTTCCTGATTATTACAAGGTGATTGCTAATCCAATGGATCTGGAGACTATCCGCAAGGTGTGTAGTTTGAACTGAGCAGCCGCTTGAGAGATGTTTAGACTTGATTACTTAATGGGTGACAATCTCTTCCAGAATATCTCCAAACACAAATACCAGAACAGAGAGACTTTCCTGGATGATGTTAACCTCATCCTTGCCAACAGCATTAAGTACAATGGTAGGTGGTGAAAATAAGGCCTTCTGTACTTAAATGAATACATCTGGGCACCTGTTCTGTAGTGCTGTCAAAGCCTGAAGCTGTGAATCCTGAGCTTGATTGTTGCTTTTCTTTCCTGAAAAAAAACCTGCTGAGAAAAGAGATGCTTAAACAGTGGCATTTTCACTGTCACATGGTGCTTTATTTACCATCTTGTGCAGAATGGGGCAGTTACATTTAGGGAGGATTTTCTACTTGTTCAGTACACATCTCTGCTTCAGTGATTTGTTTCTGGGAATTGCCTTGAGATTGACAGAGTACAACCTTCCTATCTCCTAAGTCATGTTTTTAATGCTGGAACAAACTGGTTGCTCTTTGTTAGCTGAATGTGAACCCTGCTTTATATTTCTCCTTAGATCGGAAGGTGTTGGGATTTAGGGACCTGTGTCATGAGCGCTGTGTAACCAAAACCAGTCTTTCTGTCTCAGCAGCTGGAACTGAGCAAATGTCAGAATGGATAAAGAGATTTGTTTCTTACTACAGGGCCAGACAGTCAGTACACAAAAACAGCTCAGGAGATTGTAAACATCTGTTATCAAACTTTAGCTGAGGTATGTGGACAACTCTGCTGTAATATTTTTGTATGTTTGAATTTTTTGTTCTGCAACCTTAGCAAGCTTCTTTGTTCTTAGTATGATGAGCACCTGACTCAACTTGAGAGAGATATCTCTACTGCTAAGGAAGCAGCACTAGAGGAGGCAGATCTGGAAAGTCTTGATCCTATGACCCCTGGTCCCTACACTCCACAGGCAAGTGACCAAGCAAAGTTTTCACTTCCTTTCTTTTAGTTTCAATCTCCTGGATCTTCAATCTAGAGGTGCCTCTTTGTTTACTGTTCTCCATCTGTCTGCAGTTTGTCCTTTAGTAGAGTATCTTGTTGGATGGTGTGCTAACAGCTATTTTTTAAGGATAAATATGAGAAGTGGTTAAGATGCTTCAAAGAGTGAGATACCTAAGACAAGGAAGGTAATTTCCCTAGCAACTTGCAAAACTGGTATCAAGATGAGCTCTGTACAGTCAGGTACAACTCAATGTTGGTTGGAAATTCAAAGACTGTGCAAGTGTAGCAGTTAGAAACCCTCAGAAAGCAAGCAGTGAAAAGGTAAGGAGAATGTGAGGAAAAAACATCAATACTGTAGTGCTGAGAAGAAGCCAGAAAGCTGTTTGGTGGAGGTATTTTTGAAAAGGCTTATTGCTGTGAGCAAAGAAACTTGCCTAATATTGTCAGCAAAGTACGACTCCTCTGCATTCTCTGGTGGGATTCTTTTGAATTTCTTTATTTTGGTTCTAATGGAAGTAACATTTTTTACTCTTCATTATTATTTTATAGCAGACAATTGTGTGTGTCAGTTATTTTGTATGTATTATAGACCAAGTTGGAAGCATAATCTATGCTGGAGATTGTATGACAAACTGCTTTTTCAGTGTTTACAGTTTGGCAAAGTTTTATAAGCTATTTAGACTTTTTTTTTTTTTTAAATGCTTCTTGCCTTGAGCTGTTTGGTTGTTTTTAAAAACATTGGTAAAAAACTTTCACCAGGAATGACAAGTCCATTCCTGAAAAATAAAATTGCCTTTGGAATTTGCCCGATAAATTAGGTTCAGGGAATGTCATCCTAGTGTCTGAGATGTGCCTTTTGTTTATTTGGAAAAACTGTTGAAGTTCAAAAGCCTTTGGAAAGATATCTCTGCTAATAACTGAATGATCAAAATTCAAATGTTGTATACCCAGTGTAGGAAGACAGAGCAAAGCTTTCTTTGCAGTTGTTCATCCCAGTTGTAGACCAATAATTTTTCTATTCTGTGTAAGTCTGGTGTGATTATGTCTGGAAAGTTGCATTTAATTTTAGTAAAGTCAGAGCAGAAAAGAGGGACTTGAAGTTCAGGAACTATTTAAGATCTTATAAAGATAATTTTTATGAGAAAAATGAGTTTAAAATTTGTTTAGGTAATAAGTATACAAAGATTATATGGCTGGAGCCAGGATAGCAGGCTACAAACAATTTTTGGGCAATATTTAACACCCTCCATCCGTCTCTCCCCACAAAAAAAAACCCCAAAATGTAGCATTTTAGGAAGCTAGATAGAACTTGCTAGGAATGATGATTGAATTCAATGAGGTGGGAATACTGAAACTGAGTATCACGGAAAAAGACCTTCCTAGCAATGGGAAGTGTCAGGCTGCAAGGGAGTCTTTGGAGATTAGTTGTTGAAACTATCTATGACACATTTAAAGGAAGATTAGATGGAATCAAGGATGATCCCAGTACCTCAGAGAATGAGGGACAAAAATGTCATTCTGCTCTCTATTTGATAGTTTCCTTCCCAAGAGCAGTATTACCTGTTCTGACTTTTTTCCAAGTTGGTGATCAGGAGAGAGGAAAAGAGGCCTGAGCAGTGAACTGCCTAATAGTTGTCTGCTCCTTCTCTGTGCTTGCTAAAGGAGAGAGCTTCCTGAGCTTCTCCCTTGAATTTGCCATCTGAAGGCCACCCTTTCCCTCTGCTTCTTGGCTGGAGGTACTCTCCTGCTTCGCACACTCCCAAACTTGTCACAGATGGCAGGTCTGGTGATGGTTACTTGGCTTTAGTTCCCTTTATTTCAAATATAGTTGTGATGACTAATATTTATCTCCCCATATGTGTCTTCAGGAGTTGGAGTCCAGGATATAAAAAGCAAATACAGCAAGTAGAGAGCTGTCTGTGGTTTACATGTCTGTTTAAATTCTTAGGAAGCCTGTTTTGCCTAATTTAAATGATATTGTTGCTGCTCTTAACACTTTCAGGATTGTCGTGATATATAAACTGTGTATTATAAGGGCATTTTATGAAAATCCTAATCTGTAGTTCCTCATGAACTCTTCAGAGGTCAAATGGCATGCAAACTACAGATTGGCTTTTAGAACACTTTACCCAAACCCCCCTTTTTTCTTGCTTTTGTCAGCTTTAGGGACTCTTGAGCCAGTGATTTATATAGAATTGATTGAAAGTTGAAGCTTTGCTATTTCATATGTGATAGACTTCTTCCAGTTGTGACAGCAGCATTTGTGCTTGCAACACCATTTCCATTGTAGGAATGGAAATTAAAAGGGCCATGCTGAGTCAAACCAAAGGTTGATGTAATCAAGTATTCTGTCTCTGGCAGGGACCAGAAGTAAGTGGATGCAAACATACAGTTATCCTTCTTAGAGTGAAGCCTCTCTGCTTCTGGCAATTGGCTGTTCAGGCACCGTAAACTGGTGTTGCGTCTGGACCATTGTATTTAAGAGCTGCAGAGAGGCCTGTTCTCTATAAATCTATTTAATCCTTTTGGAATCCATTTGCGATTTTAGCCTCTGTAGGATTGCACTGCATAGAAGTACTGACTTCTATTTCAAAATCTGCTATTTGGCAAACTTCAAACCTGAGGTTGTGAGCCATTGCATTTTACCATGTTTATTCTTTAAGAATAAATAGCTTATTTTGATTAAACAGTGTTTAATAATACAAACACCATGCCAAAAAATGCATTTTGCATTTAGTCCTGAAATCCCAGTCTTGCCTCTCAAGATAGTGTTCTAGTCTCAGTTCAGTGCCTGAGAATGTTATGTCTCCTGTTTCCACATATACTTTAGCCACCTGATTGGTATGATACCAACACTTCCCTCAGTATGTCACATGATGGTTCAGTCTATCAAGATGAGAGCAATTTGTCTGCTATGGACACTCCCATCACTACCCCAGAGAAGCGAGGAACTCAGGTCAGAATCCTCCATTTTTTCGTGTGGTTGGAGAGTCGGGTTGTATAAGCAAATTACTGAAAGGAGGCAATTACTTTGTAGGAAACAGGTGACAAAGATCAGCAGGTTTCCCAAGCAGAGAAGGGAATCCATTTCAAATGTTATGCAATTTCCTTCATTTTGACTGCTCTGAGGGAAAAGGAAAAATTTAAAGAGCACTGGGAATTGAGATACTGCAAAACAAAGAACAGAGAATCAAAAGGTGCAAAAGAATCTGCCTAAGGCCAGATACTTGTTTGCTTCACTACTTCTGGGAGTAGAAACCTGGTGACTCATGCTACAGAGGGCTAATATGCAATCCCTTGTTGATTCTGAATAGGGAAATGGTGAAGTATATTCTACAGATTTGGAAGATGATAATTAGATTATTATGGTTGCATCCAGTGATGACTAGAAGCTGTACAAACACCTAGGAAGAGATGGTTGCCACTGTAGACACCTTATAGTTGTAAAAGAAAAAAAAAAAGCAGATGGGTGAAAGGTATTAAATCATTATAAATGAACTTGTTACAGTAACTGCAGAATGCTTTTTCTTAGCCTTCATTCTGTATTAAACAAAAAAAAATGTTGGAGGAGAGGGAATAGCAGAAGAAGATGAAGTAATATGACCATGAAAATAAATTACCAGGAGGAGGAATAAGGTGAGGAGGGCCATGAGACTGAAGGTGGTACGAGAAAGACTAGTGAGCGCTATTTTGATCAATCCAGACAAACAGAGATTGAATATGAATAGTTCCGTCTAGTATTGTGGCTGTCTGTAGCTTTGAGAATGCCTTCTAGATTTGGAAGTCTTCAAGCTTTCTACAGACTTTCAATTTATAGTCTTTGGGACAGTATCTGCATGTCCACTCTACCTTGGACTCATGGTGACTGAGGGAAGAAGAGGAGAGAGAAGGGCAGGAAAAGATTTGTTGGAAACTACTGTCTGCTTTTAAAATATTTTGTGAAAATAAGCACTTTTTAAGATCTAGTGGTATTTTCCAGAAATAGGTAAACAAAGAACTGTGGTGCTGTAAGGCTGGAGATTCCCTTTTCGAGGATGAGCACATCAGGGTAAAAGTGTGTGGAGACTGTGCTCTCTGATCTTGGAATAAAAAGAGAAAATATCCTTGCTCCGAGAGTGATATACATACATTTTTCTTTTTATCTTCCCCCCGCCGAGTACTCCCACACCCATCATTGTGGTCCAGATGTCAGTCATACCCTTTGGTTTATGTCCAGTAGTGCCTTCCTCAATGGTATTGCTATTTGTGTTCCCCATTCAGATGCGCCAGGGGCGAGGTAGGCTGGGCGAGGAAGACTCTGACGTAGATATTGAAGGGTTTGATGAGGATGATGATGGGAAACCTAAGACTCCAGCCCCAGTGAGTATATTTACAGAAATCCCAGCCACAGTCTACGTATTGACTTGAATACTTGTGGTAGAAGTCTCCATAGTATAAGGGTTCTCTGCTGTGTCTGCCACCCTGAAAGACAGCAGTATTCGTAGCAATAGCTAGACTCTTAAATGTAGTTTTAAAATGTTAGCATTATGAAATGAGTGAATACTTCAGAATGAACGGTGTGATAAATAATAGGCATATGCTGGAAATGGCAGCAGTAGTTTATATGTTGTTTGATCTTCACTATCCCTGTTCTGTATGACCTAGGAAGTTGAAGATGCAGATGGGGACCTTGCTGATGAAGAAGAAGGATCAGCCCAGCAGCCCCAGGCCAGTGTCCTCTATGAAGATTTGCTCATGTCAGATGGAGAGGATGATGATGATGGGAGTGATGAAGAGGGAGATAATCCTTTCTCATGTAGGTGTCCTTTTTTATAAAAGATTGAATAAGAACTGGTTGTTCACAAGCCCAGCTAATCTTCTCGTGATTCCATCACAAAAACATGCGGTAGAGAGCGTAGAGCATAATTGGGATATGTAGGCCAGGTGGTCTAGTAGTCAAAAAGGAAGAGAGACCAAAGGGCAAGATGAGAAAACTGGATGAACATAAATGGAAATGAAAACAAAGTGGAATAGGAGTGCTGTAAGTACGGACACAAAGGAAAGCAGAGTTAAGACAAGATCTGGACGATTGTATTTCATAAAATGAAACTACAAATGGTTCTGAAAAGACTGGAACTATGATTTGGTGTGCAGAGCCAGGAATGGGCAGTTTAGTCAAAGCACAACATTTATTTTGATATGAAACAGTGTGGTCAAGGTTATGAAGAACTGGAAGAGGTGCCTGGAGGTTCCCTGTTTTACTAAAAAACTTGCCATGCAGAAAAACTTTAGAAATGGCTTCTGAAAATTATTAGGGGGGAAGAAGGGGGAATTATTCAGAGTAGACAAGCAAATAAGGCCTTTTCGAGTAATGGTGGTAATGAGATTGCTTTGAAATAACATCAGAATTGGGTACTCGGTAAGTGATATCACCTCCCAGATACCCTTTCTGCTACCTTGTGGAGACACTACTTTGTGTACATTCCTTACAGTCAATATTGTAGCCTTTAAACAAAGACAATGTGTATGTAACTGACTGGACAAAACTGTTGATTTGTGACCAAATGTTGGTTTATTACGCAGCTATCCAACTGAGTGAGAGTGGCAGTGACTCAGATGTGGAGCCCAATGCAGTGCGACCTAAACAACCTCACGTTCTTCAAGAGAACACACGAATGGGCATGGACAATGAAGAAAGCATGATGTCTTATGAAGGAGATGGTGGGGAGACATCTCATGTTATGGAGGACAGTAATATCAGGTAATTAGAGCTGAGAATCTTGTTAAAATAATTCTTCAAAACAAAGTCCCTTCTCTTAAAGATTTCTGAAGTGTTTATCATAAAAAACTGAAGAATATCTCGTGTTATTTTGTCACTGTTTTTAGTGTTGCAACCATAGTTACCATAATTGCAATTTACTTCTTATCAACAGAAGTCTGGTTTTACTGTTAGATCTTCACTGATAAAATGTTAGTTAAATTAAAAAACCATTCTTTCTTGTAAGTTAGATGATTTCGTGAACATAGTGGTTTTTGAAGGCAGGACAAATAAAGGTTTTTATAGGTTGTCTCAGAAACTACAAGATGCCTTTACAGTTAAAAGATGATTTAGCTGATTAACTTCGTGTTTTTGGTTTTGGTTTTGGTATTGGTTTTTTTCCTCTAAAAATAAGCATTTCCTTACTTGAAAGGAAACTGCTTAGTTGAAGCCCAAAAGAATAGGAATATGTGTATTCTGCATTTTGGAAGGAGTTCCATTATTAGAAAATGACAAGTCCAGCAACATCAGCTTTATTTTTTTGCATTCACTCGAGAGAGTACTGACCTACTCTTCCTTCTCTGGCCATTCTGTAGAGTATTAGCATTAGATTCTCTGTTCTTTTTCTACTCGTGGAATTCAGTCCCTTAATGCTGTTATTGATATTTGCCTAATAAGTTCTCGTACAGGCAGTATTGTACAGGTATTGTACCGGTGCTGGGTTAGGCAAATGGTTGGTCCGGTCCAGTACCTTGACAATAGTCAGCAGAAAATGCTAGAGAAGATGATGAGAATGGGCTGTCTGCCTTCCTGTCTGCAGTAAAGGTGACAGATGGAAGGTGTTGGAGCGACCTGTTTTTCCTGCCCTGAGTATATCAGAGTGGGATGAGGATGCTGGTAGATGATTGTTTCATCAGAACTGCTTTTTTATTTTAAAAAGGTGGCCATTGACAGAGTTGAAGTGCACAGTGGTTCCAAGTGTTCCACAAGGACTTCAAGCCAGGGACGTTTTACAGGAGTTAAATACAGAATTGTCAGTATCAGCAGCTGATTTGAAATGATGGTATAGTAAGAGTATCTTCTTTCTTCTAGTTACGGCAGCTATGAAGAACCAGACCCAAAATCCAACACAAGAGATACAAGTTTCAGCAGTATTGGAGGGTATGAGATCTCAGAAGAGGAGGAAGAGGAAGAACAGCAGCGCTGCGGGCCAAGCGTATTAAGTCAGGTCCATCTGTCTGAGGATGAGGAAGACAGTGAGGACTTCCATTCCATTGCAGGAGACAGTGACCTGGACTCAGATGAATAAACTCCCTTTCCTGAGATGATGGTCATCCTGGGCTCCTGAATTTCTCTTGCCTCAGTTTGCTATGAGGAACAGTGTAGTGTGGACTGTATTAACGAGAAGTAGATTTTTTTATATAATATTTTAATGAGTTATTAAAAATGTTATCTGAGTAAATGGTGAAAAATAAGCTTTAGACAAGCATGCCCTGCTGAAGTTTTGGGTTGCTGTAGCCTGTACTAGTTCCAGAATGCAGATGAAGATTTGTACGGTTTGTTCTTCAGTCTTTATAGATGTAAAATAATTTCTCATAAATAATGGCCTGTTGGATACATGCACATCTGTCAGGAAAAAAATGCTTGTTCAGAATAAAATACCTGCTGTTGATGAACAACTATAAAACAATTTTCATTTCATAAAGGGAAGGTTTTTCTCTGGGACCACAGCATGAACACAGTGTCTGAAGTGTTACCCCAGACTGGTTTTGAAAATTGCTTAACTACTCTGAATACTTCAGTAAACAGCTGCCCTATTTTTTTTTTAAAGTTACAATTAGTTCCAGAAATCAGAATTTGGTAATTTGAGTCTTCAGGAAGGTTCATTATTGACAGGAGATCCCTCATTTTCAGGCACTTGGAAAGCACACGCAGACCCTGGAGTTCCGTACGAAATGCTGCTGTACCGTCAACGGGGTTCACGTCGGTACAACTCGAGAAGCTTTTACCGCCGTCTCCCCGCGGCCGGTGTGGCTCGCCCCCGGCCTTGCCTTCCCGCCAGGCCCCG